GTAATGCAGAAAACACAGCGCAGTCTCATGTGCTGCTGCTTGACCAGCCTGGCTTTGCATGGGGGCAGCAAAAGCCAAAAGCATGGCTGAGAAAGGCAAAGAAAATGGCCAGGAAAGGGAGACTAAACATGGCAAGGGTTCAGGAAGGAGCTGAGGAAGGACCAGCTGCTGCACAGGCCTGTGAATACCAGAGGGTGGAAAGGAGGCAGCCCTGAGGTCTGCCACTATTTATCTCCATGTCTCAGCCTACAGCGGAAACAGCACTGAGCAGTGGCATTTCCAGGCAGCAGTCACCTAGCTGCAGTCCTGCTATGGAATGCCCTAGAGATGCTGAACCCTTCCAGGTCTAAGAACTGAAGTTCAGTGGAACTCAGCCATCAGACCACTCTTATTGCAGAGATCTAGTTTGGTGAAAGCTGTGTAAAAGTAGATGCTATTGGCTCTTAGGCTTAGACTGTCATCTTCTTCATTGCTGGGCACTGGGGAAAGCACTGCACTGCTGCACAAACTGTGAGATATCCGGAGAATTGTTTTGGACAGATCAGCCATGTTCAGCTCTGGTCATAGCTTCTGGAATGTCAGCAGAAAGCTTGAGCAATTCCTATACAGGCAAGAATCCTGCATTGCATCACAGGTCAATAGTAATCAGGAAACAAATGGAAATTATTATCCCATGAGACTTTTACAACTCTCATTTGAGTATGTTGTCTCTCTCATGCTGTGTGCATGATCCAGACTACCAGGATGCACATGTCCTTCCAGCAGCAGGCTGCTCCATGCTTCATGCCCACTCATGGCAGCTAGGATGGCTCAGGGCACCCAGTGCCGGTTGAGGGTGAGTAGGACCAGAGAATGATGTGGCCACCAGTTTTACAGCCTGGGAGTTTCTTCCTGGCAGGTCAGGTGCAAAGTGAGCACCTTCATTTTATGGGTGGTGCAGGAAGCTGTTCAGGAGCTGCTGGTTTAACCAGGACTTCCACAGGAAAACCAGCTGAACGCACATTGTTTTTCTTCAAAAGCCATGCTCTGAGGATGCCCAGGAAGGCTAATTCACTGTGGATGTGGGCTGTGGGGTCCTGCCTTCCAGCAGCAGCCTGGACATGGCATATCTCCCCCAGCACTGCCAAGAAATGTGGCCCATTGTCTGGCCTGGTGCAGTTGGCAGGAGCTCCTGTGTGGAGCAGGAGGCAGGGGAAGGAGCAGCCCTCAGCAGAGGGGCAGGGGAGGTGTTGGGCCAGCTAGGGGCTTCAATGGGACTTGCAGGGACAAAAAGCTGTGGTGGCATGGGTACAGCAAGGCCTGAATTTCTTGTGGTCCTTTCTCCATCTTGAGGCTTGGAATGGCTCTGCTCAGAACGTGGCCTCCAGAGATGTTCAGCTGCCTTCCTCTTCCTCCTCTCTGAAAGGCGGACAGGAATGGAGCATCTTGGGGCCCACAAGCAGCCCTGCAATAACAAGCCAACAGGTTCCCAGGGCTGACATTTGCCATTAGCATGCTGGCTTGGCAGCAGAAAACTTACAAGGGGCAAGAGCTTCTTCATAGCTTGTCTTCCTTCTGCAGCACTCAGAAAGACAATTGGAAAAAGAGTTTCTGGGGCCAGATCCAGGCAGAGACACACCATGCACTTTGGCTGCAAGCACACTGACAGACTGTTTTTACACTTGCTTCCTGCAGTTGAAGTGCATGTACATGGCTGTACCCCACAGGTACCCAGCATGTACATGACTCAGATAAAAAAGAATGATAGGATTCATGGAAGTGTAGAAAGCTCACCCTTCAGATTGACCATCCAGAGTCACTGCCTGAGGCCATTCAGTTCACATCCCGCCTGCTCTTCCTGCAATGATGCTGGGACCAGATGGGCTGGAGTCAGATTTGCTCTTGCTCCTTTGCGTGCTAGGAAGGAAAATGAGCTGTTTCCTATTTCGACCTCTGAGTCACTTCAGGGATGCAGAAACCATTAGAGCTAGCAAAAATAGACAGAAAGCTGGGAAGCTCCAGAGCCTGCAGGGCTTCTGTTTCTCCCTAGAAGAGGGAAGGCACCTACTAGATGGGCTGAGACAGACCTTACTCCCTGTGGTTGTCCTGATGGATGGACTGGCATTCAGAGTGTCCCAGACAGTCTGTATGCATTCCTGGAGAAGGTGGTACCTGATGACACACAATAGACCTCAGTCTGCCATCATGATGAGAATGGTTTGTAAGCATCCCCTTAGTGCCATAGATCCCAATACTTCTTACAGAGGTGGAGCAGAAATTGAGTAAGGAATATTAAAAGATCTCTGTAGCTGACCAGGACTAATCACTGCCTCTCAGCAGGTTCACTTTTACCTAAGCTACTTCTGATGTACAAGGAAATAGAGACAAAAGCAGTCGTAGTTGTGTTCTTAAAGAGGGTGAGCTGCCACAGATGCTCACCACATTTTCTCATTGGTTTTGGTTAGTCAAATATGCCTTTGATGACATAGGGGAAACTTAGGACTCTTGTTTCCAGCTCAAAATGTCTTCCTTTGCACTGAAAAAAGGCCAGCTAGAAAACACTTGAGTGCACTTAGTATTTTACCTGCACAGTGTGAGAGCCATTGTCTTTAAGCAAAGGGTGGCTCTGTTTGGCAGTCTGTTGAAATGTGTTTATTACACATGGGTCTCTTGAAAGCTCTGTTCTTCTGTTCCCTCTGAGAAGACACAGGCTGTAAATCAAACCCTTTTCCCATCAGAGGAAAAAGTACTGCTGAGTGGTCAGGGTCACGAGTACAGCTCCTGCAGGTTTGTACCCAAGAATCATGTTCTTGAGGCTCAGCAGGACACAGAGGGACACCAGCATGGATAAAGTGCCACTCAGATGCTATATGGCAGTGATGGGCTGGCATGAGCAGAGCAAACTTTGGTGAACTTGGTGTTAGAGGCACAGATGAGTTTATCTGTAGATCTTTAATGAAGTATTTATCTATGCGTGCCAATTCTGCATCTCAGAAAGCTTAACAGGGAATATTTCTCAACCAATGGCACAGGCAAAACCTTTCAGCAGAATGCCTGTTTGTTCCCTCTTGTTTCAGGGCTTATAGCTTTTTCATCTTTGGGGTCTCCATCACTTCTGAGCTGCCCTCAGAAATCAGAATAACTCTTGGCTAGGAGACTTTCAGCATATGTTCCCTTGCAATGGCACTGAGAGAGTCCGCAGTATGAGCAACAGGGAAATTTAGTTGCAGAAGCTGATGGAGCACAGGGTAAGTCCTCATCTAAAGGCCAAGAGACGTTCATGAAGTAAAGATCAGAAAAATTTCAGCATGGGCAGCATAGGCTGCCTGTGGTTTCTTTAGGAATGAGGGCATAGGGGGAAGGGGCAGTTTTCAGTTACTGATTCAGTGCTGAAGTCAGTAACATTTCTGCTTCCAACTTCCATGCAACCAAATAGGGTATGTTGGTGTATGTTCACATGTAAATGCCACTCCTGAGACTGTGAAGTATGTTTGATGAAAGGTGCTACATCAGCATTGAGGGCTATATATAGACAAGTCTGTAACCAAAGCCCTGGATCTGCACATTCCCGGTCTCTGGGGAAGCTCAGGTCAAATCTGAGTTCTGTCGTCTCAGGCATGCATTAAACCTAACCAGCCACAGCTGTAAGCCAGTGTTGGGTTTTTGTTAATGCAGGACAAAAATGCCCAGAGCCTTTGGCTCCAGGACAGCTATTGTTTATCTGATCTCTTTTAAGAGCTTGAGCCTGCCTTTCCCATAAGGACCAGACAAGGGAACAAAAAGGAGAAAAGGCCACAGAGTTGTTCTGGGTGAGTATTGTCCTACCAGCCTGGGGAGCACAGTGGGAGTGAGGTTTTGTCAGAGCCCCTGACACCACGAGGAGCACAGCTCCAGGTAGAGGGTTTCAGCTCCCATTAAATCTGCCACGGGAGGGAGGCACTTGTCTCTGCCACACACAGCTCCCACCTAGCTTTGTCACAATGGCTTCATGTGACAACCAGGCCCCTCAAAATCAATGTCCACGTTTTCTGCAGATGAGACTCCACCATTAAATGAACATTAGCTTGACTGACCACCCCCATTACAGTTTTTTAGTAAGGATAGGGATAACAGGCCAGCCAGGTCCAGAAAGCATCACATTCCAAGCTGGCTGAAGCCACATGCTGCATTCACAGGATGGCATAAGTCACAGATGTCCTTGGCCTTACTCTGTCTTGCTGTGTGCCCCAGGTAGAGATCGCATGGGCTCAGGGGCCTGCGCAAGGACCAACTTACTATCCCATTGCACACAAGGCTGTGGCTGCCATGCTTTGCACAGCTCAGCAGCTTTGCAGCATGCTCGTTTGCCCATAATTGCAGCCTACTTGGGTTGGAGATTTTTGTGGCTTACCCCTCCTGACCTCCTTGCCTGCATCATGTTTCCACCAACCCTTCACCCCTGAAATCCTCAGTGGGGATTGGAGAGATACAGAGGAAGCCTTACCAGCAGGGAGGGAAGAAAATCAACTAGCATCAGAGACAGTGAGGGAGAAGGGAATTTAGGATTGGGTCCTGTGTACTTAGGCATGGCTTCTAGAAATCAGCAGTTGTGCTTGGGACACCCAACCCTGGTTGGAGACTGGTGTCTACAAAGTTTTCATGGGTATGGGATTTGCCATATAATTTGTTGTTTGCTGAAGATTTGAGCTTTAGCATCTTGCTTCAAATCTTATTTCTATGCACTAGACTTCTCTTTTGAGATAGCAATCCTGTACATGTGTACATCCTGTTCCATGTGTCAGTCAGTGTTTGAGCACCAATTTCAGTGGAATTTTGTCAGCATTTTTACCCTGCAACCTGAGATCAAGAAGAACTTATAAAAAGGAATGCCATGCCCTTGAATTAGGCAAGAATTGCAATTCTCAGGCTAGAAACAGGAAACTGAAACACAGAACATACCCTTGTTTCTAGTCACATAATGAATCGAGAGCAACCAGGCACAGACAAGCTTACTCCCTCTCAAAATGACCCTTACAATGAAATTCTCTGTAGTGTTTAACCAGTAAGCACTTTTATTGTTGATTTTGAATTCATTAAGACTACATTATGTTGGATTATAAGACTTTGGCTACATCTCCCACATTTGCATGCAGGCATTACATTTGCAGGATTTTCTTAGAAAAATGGAGCAGGCGCATAAAATGCATAAAGGTTAAATGATTATAACATGGAAGCAGCATGTCAGTTACAGAAATTTGTACCACATGTATCAATAACAAACCCACATCCCCATTTAAAACCTCTTTGTCCATCAGAAATCCATCTGGTTCCTCTGTCCCTCATCTCCTTGCCCTGGCTGTCTCTCAGCCAGCATTCCCACTGTTTCTGAAAACACACATCTTCTTTTTTTTAGAAAAAGGTTTAGTACAGTACATTGTTTTTCCCTTAAAAACAAAAACATTTCTTCTTCACAACACCCACCCACTTTAAAAAAAAGAAAAATCTATCATAATCTCTTCAAGCACTGTTAAATGTTAGGAATCTCTATTGTATTACTGAAAGTATCAGATCACTAACAAACTTCTAAACATACTATGATGACCCTAAAATTCCCCCTTCCCCAAAACTACCGAGAACTGAAAATGCTATACTGCATTATCACACTTGCATGCATGTATCCTGAGCCACCTGTATTTATTCACCTTAAGCCCCTTTAATAAATAACTGTCCAGCAGTAACATCCAGAAGTGTGCTGTCTCCTCCAAATTAAACTCTATATTTACAGAAGTAGGGCTGTCTTCTCAGTGAAATGTTGTTTTTTTTTTAAAACAAAACAAAACAAAACAACAGCAATAAAAACAGCTAACATTTAAAGAGAGAAAGCATATTACTGATCACGTTGTCTAAAGACCAACAGGAGTAAAAAGCATTAGGAGCACCAGGTGCACATGCATTTGAACTGGTACAGTTCACAAAATAATGTCATTCATTGTTGTGCTCGCTCATTCAGATGAGGAGCTGGTTCTTTTTCTTTCTTTTTCTTTCTTACACTTAAGGCCGTCTGCTCTGCAGGCTACTCCCACAGATGGCAATACATGCACTGGGGTTGAAAGATGGCCATAAAAATGCTTTGATCAACATGGTTCCATATCAGCTTTAAACGCATGGAGTTTCCCTCCCCACATCTTTGCACCTTGTGTCATTTAACATCTGCAATAAGTGTGAGCCAAAAGCTCCTTAAATCCTCAGTTATTCTCTTGGATGGGGGGAAGAAATAGTTGTTCACTTTTTTGTAAGTTTCTAATGATGCAATGAGCTGGAACATACAGGGGAATCCTCCCACATGAGAACATTTCTCAGCAGTGTAAGTACTGCAGTCACAACTGCTATACATGCATACCAAAATAAACATAGTCAAATATCAAGCCAGTTGCAAGGATTTTGTCCCTTCCTTCATTTTGAGTCAGCTCTCAGCTCAGAGACATCAATATTACTGTCTTGACATCAATTTGCCTATGCTGATTTACACCAGGTAAGGATCAAGCTCAACAGAATGTAAAATAACCAGTTTCTCCTACTGCATTGTTATAGTGCCTGAGATCACTGCAAATGGCAATTTTGCTCCAAAGACAAGAAGTCTTTCCATAGCCAGTGCAGTATGTTTACGGCCCCCCACTGCAAAGGCAATTCAGCCAGGTTTGCTTTCTCTTTTTCCCAAGTTACCAGCAAACTATCACCTAAACCTGCACTGCTCCCATCAGAGAAGCTTAATTTTACATAAAGAAGATGCTGGGAACTCCGTTTACGCTGAATTTAATTTTCATGGTGCTTTCTGCTTTATTATGTATAGATCACCTAGAAACCCAGATCATTCCTATTCTTCATGCAATTGCATATTACGTAGAAAATGTAAGCATCTTGTTTCTGCAAGACTGGCTATTGTAGCAAAGGAAGATACTTTCCTCAACCAGAAGAGACAGACATATTGGAAGTTTGATTTTCTATAGTCAACACTCCTGTTCTCACTGAAACTAAGTCAAATTCTACAGTAACATGAATTCAGATCTGTAACAACTCTACTGACCTATCTTCAAGAATTATATGGGAGCAAGACAATAAAGAGTATGTCTTCTGGGCTTTTTCACATCTGATCCATTTGTTGCAAGTTTGAAGAGATACAAAATCTGTAAGAATTTTTTTCCTTTCAATATTCCATCATTTGTGGAATCCACCATTGTTACAATCTGATCACCACATGCTGATAAGAGACTTGGGTCTGCCCCAATTTCACATACAGATAAGCCTCAAAGGCCATGTTTTGCTGTGGCAGGGCTGGTTTTTTTTTATTATTATTATGCGCAATTTCAATTCCTAACTAGCGTTTGTTGGCTTGTGATTCTTACATGGACAACATGAGATGCTATTAAGTTCAACTGCATGTTCACGTTACAACAGGTCCTAGATCTAGCAAATTTGTCTCACATAGGATTCCTTAGGTAAAAAAAAAAAATGTTAACCAATGATTTCTGCTTTTAAAGCACCTTCCCCCACTTCCAGGTGCCCACCCCTCACTGGAGTCATCCAGTTCCTTCCTCTTGTGTCAAAAGTGGAGTTTCACCAGAAAAGCAGCGGAAAATTGACATAGTTTCACCTTTCAGCTGAAAGAAAAGGAGGTAAGTGATCACTGTGTTGCCTTTCCATTCATGGGAATGCCACTCTGAACAGTTTTTGTAAAGGAAGAGAAACCAAATATAAAAACCTACACAGTTCCCACACACACAGACACATACACACTTACACACACTTCTCCTCCAAAGAGAAATCCATTCTTATGGACCACATTTTGCAAACCCTATTCAAGTGACCAAAAAAAATGAGGATTAAGTGCATCCTTTCTCCTTTCTGATCATGATATAGTCACAGGTCAGCAAAGTAGTGGGCATAGGGATGTTCCTCTTGACCTGCAGGACATTTTAATGCATGCAGAAGTGCTTTGCTGGCTGAATGTGGAACAGCTCCAAGGCCAGCTGACAACCATGAGTGTGATTCCACTACCTGCACCAATATACATGAGGTAAGGGCATAACTCAAGAGAGCAAAGCAGTGCAAGAAGAGAAAGAGGCTCTGTGGTTCTTCTGAGTTTGACAGCCTCAGCTGCATACACACGGCATGTCACAGTGATCAGCACGGACCCATGAGAGCTTGGTATGTTGTTCTGCAAGTGGGACTTCCACTGGCAATAGTAAGCCTGATTCCTGTTTGCAACAGGACATTTATACGTCTGTAAAATCTGCATAACAAGGCCTTAAATCTGGAGCAGCCACATGATACAGTTAGTGCTTTAGCGTGGATTTCTATGCCAATAACCAGTGTGATGTGCTACACACCCCCACCTACACACAGATGGTGAGATAGATATATGCAGAGTCATAATGCAACATAAGCATTATTTCTACAGATATCCTAACAACATAGCTAGTGACTAAGCTAACCAGCATAAGGATCTGCAGCCACCCTTTCCAATACCATGTGATAGATGCTGGTAGAGAAAAGCAAGCTCAGGTGTTACACTGATTCACTAGGGAATGATCTGGGATCAACCCATACAGTTATCGCTTAGCGAACACAATTCATGGGCTGCCCCACAGTCCCGCGTCAAACTCCTACCTGTACAGTGATGGTGGAGGTGCCCACATCACTTTCTGATGACAAACAGAATTGAGGTCAAGAGCAAACAGTCAGTGGTTGGAAATCCTCCAGACAAACATTATATAAGAGGGGGGAAAAGGCTAACTCTGACGCTTCCCACCGTGCCTCTCTTGACCATAGGTAGACTGCAAGGTTAGATTATTGGGATCCAGGCTGTCTAAAAAAAGCCTCTCAGAAGGATTCATCTTTTAATCACAAAATGACCCTGTTCTGCTTGGCAGTAAGACTGAAAGGAAATTTATCCGTGATTAAACAGCAATGGAATCAGTCCACCAATACTCCTGATTTATGTAACATACAGTTTGCATATGGTAGCATTCATGCTCAAATTACACATTTTTGTTCAATTTTGAAGTGTTTTCTATGAATGAAAACAAAATAACTAGCCAAAAAGTTCACTGGAATTCTTCTGAACTTTGGACAACATTGAACCCAGGTCTTGTTCAGGGTTTGGGTTTCTGAACCAAAATCTGGCCTTCAGTGACTAACCTACACAACCGGATCTAAACATATGCAGACATGGCAGATTCAAAACTAATTTTGTCAGGAGATGGACACCCCTCTTCTATGCTAAATTAATGGCACACAGTCTCATTTTACCTTATTATTGTTATAGCCTCCTTAGAAACTTTCACGGAAGTTCCACCAGCAGAACTAAAGGCAGAAATTATCTTTATACTCATTGTTCCATGTTAACATCTGGATGCAGTACTGTTGGGGGAAAGAATATAAATGCTTCAATGAACTATGTTTAATCAACTTGCAGGTGGCAGCTATCAAAACAACAGATGCATGTGTATCCAGCTAAAGTTACTAATGTATGATCTGACATACCAAGTCAGACAAATGTCACATGTAAATAGATCTTGAAACGTATACAAACAAAAGCTGCTACTGCTACTGTATCTAGCTGATACATTTTGGTTTTTTTTGTGTACCCCATAGCTCTGAATCTATCCACTGAATGCTTACTCAGCACGTGTGGTATAAATATATTCATACACTAAAACTGACACTTGGTAATTTCTTTTTTTTTCTTCTTCTTTTTTTTTTTTTTTTCTTTTGCTGACCAGCAACAAATTCTGTTATCTTTAACTGTAAACCAATACTCAATAAATATGCCGTGTTCAGCAAAGAGACGTGTTTTGCCACTCAGGATTTTGCTGCGCTCTAAGCCATGGGCTGTGGGGGTGGCCGTGAAGGGGGAGGTCCAGGAGGGGCTCGGGATGGGGGTGGCCCAGGAGGTGGCTGCCTGGAGGGGGGCTGCAGAGACACCGGAGGAGAAGGACTCCTTGGAGCATGGTTGACGTTGTCCCGTCGTGGCAGCTTTGGTGGTGGGTTGTAAGGCGCAGAGGTCCCATCTGATTTTACCCGAGTGAAGTTTATGCATCTCCCCTGGAGGTAAAAGAAAAATTCATTATTCATAAAAAGCATGTGTTTTGATTCAGCAGCTAGCTAAAAGGGCTGTAATCAGAGGGGCAGGATGCGCTTATAGATCTTCATCCAGTGTCATTCACTGGGTCCCTAGACATGACATTCAAGCCTTGCTGTATTAAAGATCAGCACTACAAACAAATGCCTTCCGTGTGTTTCAGAGTTACTGCCTATGGAAAATAGCCTAGGACTGGTTTAAACCAAAAAGGAGCTCTGTGTGATTTTGCTGACATGCACTCTTTGATATTACAGCCATGCAGAACATGGCTACTGTCATAGCTCCACCACAAAGTACTGCCTGCCAGTTGAGTTCCCTTACTGATAAAGCTGTGGAAAAAGCTCACAGGAGAAACAGGATTATACCTGAGGAACAACATTAGCAAAGACACCACCTGTAGCCTTCCTTTTCACAGAGATGCTAGCCTAGATGGTGGCCGTACCTCCAAAACTATGCTGAGATATTACACTCTCTTCTGTGCTCCAAATGTAGATATGGCTTCCTTATTGTCCTCATAAAAACCTACTAGGTGTGGGACAATAGATTTCCACCAAACAAGTTGCAGGCAGGAAGAGAGACAAGACCCTAAAGACAACCTCACCTTTCCTGTGGGGAGTAGCCAGAGCAATCTCAATCAGACACCAGGACCTCACCTCTCTGCTCTACTTGCTCCTCCCCATGGTCACCATGTTTTGTTACGAAACAGCCCACTGTCATTGTGGAAGCCTCATGAAACCCTGCAGATGCAAACTTGTGTGCAGAGATGCAATGCTTGGCATCTCTATACCCATCTCTTCACCTGGAGAAGTGGGAGGAGATGCTTAGGCAACAATCCAGATGCCACAAGCTTGGCAGAAGCCTGGAATTCAGAAAGACCTTTCATCATCACATACAAGGGCTGAAGGTGAAGACAGTCTTAAAATGAAGGAGTTACACTGCCAACAGCCTATTCACAGGAGCCTTCAAATGTCTGATGTAACAAACTGGCTAATCCCATTAGCCTCAACCCCATAATTTCAGTAGAGTAGCTCTTAACAGCCCTTCAGATATTGAACAGAGGTCATTCACAGCTTCTATGCAATTATCAGAAGCAGGAAGAGGCTATGATTTTTTTTTCTCATCTTTATGGGATGTGGTTTCCATACAAATAACTGTGGGCTGGACAGTACTCAGCCATTAGTGATGAACCCCATTTGCCAGCACTTCTTTTGTTCATCATGCCTGGTTTTGTTCCATGCAGCAACCACCCTCATACAAATGCCCTCTACAGTTTATCATGGTGGGGAACATTACCTATTTTTCTCTTTCCAGGACAAACACTGCATGGGGAAAAGCACAAAAGCAGTTTGATAAGTCAGGAAGTATCTATTCCAGAAGGCAGCTTTCCTACATAATTTTCAAAGACATGCAAAGCCATGATAATGGGCTGAGGTTTAGTTTGCATGTTGGGTCCAACAAAGCAAATTCAGCTCAAAGGTATATGAATTCCCCTCAAGTAGAACTCAGGATTCCTTCAGAGTTAAGCAGCTGTAGACTGTGATCTCTGAAGCTATATAAGATTGTGATAAAAAAGGAGATACAAGAGTCCATTGACAGGGACAGATCACTCTGGCTCAGTGCTGCCTGGCACAAGGAAACACCAAAGGTGTTCAGGGAATGGGCTGAGTTTCTCTGGCAACTCCACAAGTCACAATTTCCAGTGGAATCCAGGCTAAGGCCATCACAGCTGAGCCACATCTATTTGTTTTGTTAGGAGACTTACAATGCCTGTATCTTGGTTTGTGAAACTACTCCTTTAAAAGGAAGAGAATCTTTTTAGTACATGACTTCTCTGTAGAAAGGCAAACAGAGCTACTTCTGCTATGCATCAAGAGAAGCTTATGCAAGCTTCAGGGAGCTCAGAAAATGATTCAACGAATGTACTAACGCCCAAATGGTACCACCCTACCCTTACTTGGACTGGATGGCTCAGGGCTTCAGGGCTCAGCTGCAGCCAATAGCTAACTGAATGGATGTGTTGTTGCCTGTACATAAGACGTATTCAGCCCAAGTTTTCACCATCACAAATTCACCACTACACTTAAACAGCCACCTCAATAAGTGGGATAAAATCCTCCTTCTGAAAAAGCAGGCTTGTTAAAGCAGACTTTGCTTACGAGCCTGGTTCAAGGCAACACTGTGCTGGGGCCAGATGCATGGAGGCATCAATGGGCAAAAGCCTGCTTCTTGGCAGCTTCTGCAAAGATACACAGCTGAATCAAGAAACTCATAGGTCAGTGCTTTGCTCTACTGTCATCCAACTCAAGTCCTTCCCAGCGCTGCAGCAAATGGCCATCCTTGTCAGCCTATAATTGACATTTGTCTTCTGCTGTGCTCACTTTGAAAATCAGCAGTATTTACTGATAGGCAACGAATGATACAGATTAATTTAATAGCTGTACTGCTATACATTTAAGAAAATTCAGCCTTGATTTTATGAGCTTACAAATTTAGAATGGCAAAATAATCAATTAAGGAAAAAAAAAAAAGAAGTCAGAGGTATTCAGATAAGATTCAGGATATGGAGATGGAAAAAAAGAAAACAGAACAATTTCCCAGAACAAATGCAAAGATGCAAACCCAGCACTAGCGCTTTTGCCTACCAGCCTTTGCCGCCTCTGTTGTCTTTTTCCCAAACATCAATTCCAAATATATTCATAGTCTATAATCAAAGGGGATCCCATAAATCTGTTTGCATTACTTTCACTTCACTTAAAGTGATAGGCGACGTCAAGCTGCTGCCAGTTTCTGCCACACTCGCTGATTTGTCAGACAGATGGGTAATTTAAAGGCCATGCGCCGCATTGTGTCAGGAAAAATACGGTTGGGTTGGGAGAGTCTGACAGATAGAGGCTTGTCTGATCGATGTATGCATTGTGACACTTCCTCACGAAAGATCATTGGTGTTAGCCTACAATCTCTTACATCAAAGACTTCTGGTGAATACTGGAGCAAATCCTCCTGAGCACTTCAAGCAGCCATTGATAAATCGAGGCTGAACTCGTAGCCAGAGTTAGGATTAACAGCCCAAAGGGAAAGGGGGGAACAAATGACAATAAATCCTAAGTCAGTTCTAACTTCTCTGGTGTATTTCATTAAAGGATTTCCAGGTTGCAGAATTAAGCCCCGCACTCATTACACTTTCCAAACAACAAAATGCCACAGCAATTCTTTTGCCTCATGGGCATGTCCCTCTGGGATTACCTTCATAAAAAAGTTGTGACGGTTTCTTAAATAAATAAGCTGCTGCTTAAAGCAGCTACAAAATTCTTAATACTCTGTGTCTGAAAAGATTAAGTAATCTCCTCTCCAAACGCATTTGAAGGCTCTTGAAACACAGAAATCAGACAGAACAGACAGGACAGAAATATTTAGACGTTATTCCAAAAGTATACTGCTCACTGATCTCTGTTGTCCTTGCATGAAGGATTAACAGCAATCAAAAGCCACCATTGCATTAGTAGCAATAACAGGATTTTTTTTTTCCCAGAAGCATGTTATACACCAAGTGCTTCAGAAAGGGCTCAGAGCTGCACAGTGCAGGAACACCACAGTGATCTCCAGCACAACAGCTGTCAGTAGCTGCCTTATTGTTTTCTAGGAAGCAGATGATCTGTACAAATCCAGTTCTGTCTGGTTTCAGCCCCTCTCCTAGCAGAGCATCCCTCAGATGGTGCGACCCGTCCCGCTTACTGTCATTCAGGCTCCAACCGAAGGTCAGCGCAGCGCCATATGGAGTTACGCCCTTGCTTCAGCTCACATCTGCACAGTCTTCCTAATGCACAATTATTTTGCCTCCCCATATGTCCATCTACTTGTTAGGCTCTTGTTTCGCTGCTTGCCAAACTGGCTTTTCAAAAAGCACAAATACTGAAGCAGCGGGATCTGTCCTTGCCCTGATTCCAGCTTTTATCCCAGTGTAACAATCACATGTGCAATTCAGACACTTTGTACTTCTAGGCAATGCCTCCTCGACCACCTAGGATGTGCTTTTGTGTGTGGTTTGTGGGGGGAAGGAAGGGAGGAACCTCTTGAAAGTCACTGAATCTTTTTTCTGGGCTAATTTCTTCACAGAGCTTAGTACAATGTTCCCCAGCACTTGTTGCCCAGAAGTCCTTAGTTACTACTCCACAAGTTTTCGAGAGAAAGGATCCATACAATTCACAATATCATGGGCATGTCTCCACACCCATGGTACAAAGAACACCCCAGAAAAAGTATTTCCAAAATCCTACCCATCTGCCCATCGCTGTCACTTTTCCCTGTTTCAAGTAAAACTTGGGTATTTATTTAATAAAAAATCAAATCCAGTTTAATCTTTCTGCACATTGGAATGGTTGTACATGCTAAGGTCAGTCTGTTTCTTCTTTTTAGCTGCATTAGTTGACCCAATAGAAGATATCATTCCCATTACAAATTTTACTTGAGCTTTCATTCACCCATATTTTTCCTTATGGAATCTCTGTGCCCCAGTTTTAACTAGCAGAGAGGGATGGTACCTGACTGAAAAAGAATTAGCACTAATTAAATAATTTATAGACTTATAATTTAAGACTTCTAGGTCTTTGATTGTGGAAAAACATGAATCTTGCCTTTTAGCATGAGTTGAAAAATCATTCCTTCAGAGATTAGAGGTCCTCACATTGTTGTCCAAAGCACAAGATCATGAAATTAAATACATATATACATACATATATACACACACACAGATCTGGTTTGTTAGCATTTAGCATCACTTCTTAAGTGTCTACCAATGCAAAAGCAGAGTTCTAGATCTCAGCAGAATAGTTTGTATGTTTGCTGAAAATCTAAGTGAGAAAAGCCTAGTAAAGATAAAAGGAATGCTGAAACTTCGAATCTGAGACAAAAGATGCTGAAGAGCTAGCATGTACAGAGAGTAAGTCAGTTTAGCTAACTGAATGCT